CGCACGACGGGCACACCACGCCATAGCCTCCCCACCAGACAAGCCATAGGTGCGGGTGTTTACCTCCGACTCGGGGTGGCAATGAAGGAGTTGCACCTCCGCCACGGCGTTGGGGTGTCAGACGGACCGCACGGCCTCCGGTGAGCTAGATGTGACCCACCTAGCGCCCGATCCAAGCGCCATTTGAGCGGATGCAATGGATTCCCGCCAAATCGAGTCCGACCGGTGTCTCGCGGTCTCCTTTAGTGAGCGGATGCAATGGATTCCCGCCAAACGGACGGCCATCTCCTCCTCGAGACCATGTGGGACGAGGTCCCAGTCCACAGATTGAGTGGCTGAGGACTGAGATCCGCTGCCCACCATGCCGGAGATCGTCGAAAGAGAGTTGGGGGCGGAGTGAAGTGGAGTTGAATGGAGTAAAGTGGCTAGGGCTTGGTCCGGGGAGCGGATGTGGGGTTGGGGTGAGCTAGCATGTGCCGAGTCTGACGTGACAGACGCACCTGGGCCTCCCCTTATCCATCCCAGATTTAGGCTGAATATGAAATGTGCTGATTAGTTCGGATGTATGGGGTTGGTTTGAGAACCCTGTTTGGGTCGGGGTTTTTTTTTTCTTTCCTTTTTTGACTAATCATTTACCGTCCTGGTGGGGTTGTTTGGAGAATCTGGTTGTAGATGCTCTAGAACTTGCTTCATTAAGTTTATGCTGAACCAGCAATAAGAACAGGTCTTGAGGCTATTGCAAAGTCGATCAAGTTAATCAAAGAAATAGAACCATACTTCCTAGTTAAGTAAACAGAATGGGATAAAGAAAAGTTGTAACAATATGGCGTCTCCGGCGGCCCGTCGAACACGTGCCAGGTTAGGTGCCACCACTACTTGGTCAAATCTTTGGCAGAGCATCTTTTCGTGAACGAGGAGCAAGTCACAGATCAAGCATATTTAATTTTCCAATGGCCTGGATTTCCTCAGAGTTGACTTGTGGCGTATAAATTATGTCAGCAGCAAGGTGTTTGAGCTGATCATCTGCTGTTGGTCAATGGTTTTGACAGTGCATCTTTACTTAACATCAGGATAAAGTGCTTCGTCTATTTCGGAGCAAGTTCCACATCCAACACGTCTGTAAAGAACTCTGGATGAGGAGATTGTGCAGTTAATTGCGTTCGATTAGAGTTGAACATGACCCGTTTACAAAGTCCAGATCATGAATTTCTCAAAAACGTAAATGCGTCGAATCTGACAAAGACAAATTCTCTGAACTCTAGCATGCTACACCACCGTGCCGAAATTAAAGATGATTTTTTACGAGAGTGACTAATTAGTTTGCACGAGAGAAATATCCTTTTATATAGTTATTATTAAACATATTGGTCTGCATATATGTCTTCGTGAAAGATCAAATGTTACTACTAATTCGTACAAAATTGGATAAACAAAATTAATCCCTAGCGGCAGTAGTGAGTAGTGACCCATAAATAAGGGCTAAATCTTTCGCAAAAATAAATAAATAAGGGCTAAACAAACAACACCAACCAAGAAAAGCGTTTGAATTTGAAACCCGCTATTGAAGGAGCCCTTAGGAGAAACTCAAGATAAGCACGAACGGAACTCACCGACTGAAATGGCGTTCTGGATCTCCGCGCACCTGGCCACGGCCGCCGGGCCGTCGCCTCCATCCTCCTCGTCGTCGCTCTCGCCGCCTCCACCGCCGCCGATACCGGCGTCCTCCTCGTCCTCCGTCCGGAACACTGGCCGCCCGTGTACGCCGTTGCCGGCCGGCGCGTAGGCGGACACCTTCACCTTGGCGACGAGGAACCACTGCCAGAGCGCGAAGGCAATGCCGACCACGGCGCACGCCGGGATGACCGCGTCGGCCACGGAGAAGCCCATCGCGCGCGCCCCTGGAACCAGCGGAAAAGCAAGAGTATAGAAGGGGGAGAGAGAGGGGCTTGAAATTTGAAGTTGTGGAGGATTTTGTGAGCGTGGCAACCGGGAAGGCTGGCGAGATCGAGGGCAACTGCCTTCCTCCACCGATGGAGTAGGCGGTATTAAGCAACGGGGTCAGCGTTGAGTATGGTGCGCTGTATGTACGGTTAGCTTAGCAGGGGGGTAACATAGGCTGCTTCGTCGACAGGGCATGTGGTGGGTGATAAACTGATAATCTTCAACCCTCGAATAGAAACGACAGAAATAGTCAAAATTGTTGGTGTAGTGCATACCTAAGGTGGAACAAACATTAGGCCATCTCTACCTCTCCAGTGTGAGCCCAAGGCGGTTCGTATGGGGCTTGGAATCGGTTCAATACGGTAGCTGGAGCCAGCCGATTCCAAGTGAGACAAAGGAACTTGTTTCCTTCGGCTCCAACCAATTAAACTACAATTTCTACTACTCTGAAACAACCCAGATGCTGTTGTCGTAATATGGTCTCTTCTTCCCAACCATGCAGGATGCTGGGGTTCCCGCTTCCTAGGGCCTTCGAGGGCGAAGAGCACCCTGCGCCGTCTGTTTCCAGGTCGCGTGCGTGGGGTGCTCTCAAAGACTCTCCGCACCGTCCGATTTGTCTGGACAACACGGATCCGGGCGACCCACCTCAATGGTTCATGATGGGTAGACGCGCGCCGAGCCACCATAATGCGGTGGCATTGCATCGCACCTCCGTGAGGAGGCTCACGCACGACGGGCCGATTGGACCCGCCTATCGGTGTCCTCACCCGACGAGGACCACCCGGCTGGCTCCTGGGGCTCTCCACATCGTCCGGTCTGCTCGGGCAGCCTACCTCAGATGTGCATGGCGAGTCGATCGTGGGCTTGGACGGTGTCGGGGTTAGGGCAAGTTTCGATTCTGACAATGAGTACTAGAGATATGAAAGAGGAACGGAGCCTAACTGCAACGCAGGTGTGACACTCGGTTTTTACGAATTCAGATCCCTCTCGAAGGAGGTAACAGCCCTACGCCTTGGTGTTGAGGCTTGTTTTCTCTTGGAGTGAATGATTACAAGGAGTGCTTAACCCCTGCTCAGGAGGAAGAGGGGAGCTTCTATAGAATACACCGCGGCCCTTTTACTCCTACATTAAAGGGTGGTTTAATAGGTATAACTACGACACTTACTAGTGTTAATAGTCACAATTACGACAGTTACAGGTAACGGTAGCCATGACTATGGTTAAACCCCGACTTAAGACTACTCGGCCGTTGCAGTCCCCACGCCGCCCCTTTGCCTTCCTTGTCCGAGTGGTGGTGGTTGGGTCGACTGAAGGGAAGACGTCCGAGTGCTGTCGGTGCGTCCGAGTGGACTTCTTGTCATACGCATCCGAATGCGCCTATGGTCTAGGGACCTACCAACGATGGTATGGGGCCCTAGATAAGGCTTAGATGTCAGGTCCTTGACCCTACCTATAATAGGTGACCCTACCATACGGGCCACCGTCGCATGGTGTTTTCAATCGCTCGACGCCCGCGTGTGGTTTGGTGGCCAGGACCGCTTGTCCGCGTTGCTGGCCTGTGTCGGGTTAGTTGGCTCGCGTCGGCCGGTTGTGGGCGAGGGCCCGACTGTTGTGAGGCCAGACGAGTGCTTGTAGAGGGCTCTATGGTTGTGGGCAGAGTGTGAGGCCACCCGACTTTGAGGTCCATCAATGCATGTTTTGCGATGACAAGAGGCCGGGTCGGCAGCACGTCGTTTGATGGACCTGTCATGCGTCGGGGTGGCGCTTGCGCGCAACGTCTGCCCGGACGGTATTGTTCGTTGTCATATGTCGTTGGGTACGCTCGCCCATTTGTGTTGGTTCACTATTCGTATATAAGGATGTGTTTGGTAGCATTCTCATCCTAACATGGTTTGTTTTTCTCTGATACATATTGAGTACATGCATTTGTTGTTGTTTGGTAACGGTGTATGTGCTGAGAAATGCTAAGCTGAGACTCTGTGTTGGCAGCTTGCATCTGTTTAGACATACCCGTCGGTACCGTTGCAACCAGTATTTTCAGATAAGTGAACAAAAAAAATTCAAAATTGTGAACAATTTTTGGAAACATGAAAAAAAACATTTTTCGAAATTCTGAAGTTTTTTGTAAGCTTGATTTTTTTAAAAAAAATTGAAACAAATTTAGAAAATCACCAAAAAATTAAAAAAAAACATCCGATTTTTTTAAAATTTAAACCGGCTTTAAATTTCTGATTTTTTTGAAAATTTAAACACCAAAATTTGAAAATTTCAACAAAATTTGATAATGGGTACAATTTTTTGAAAATATCAATATTTTTTTTTGAAAAACTGAACAAATTTTAACATTTTTTGGTATTCAAAACATATATTAAAAGTTATTTATTTTAGAAATTCATATTTTTTAAAACATGTTGTCGCTCGCTTCGCTCATGCATGTTGACCAACGAACGGCTGTTGGTGTGTTCTTTCTTCGTGCATGCTAAGAGGGCATTTGGGCTGAACTCGTGTATGCCGAGGAGGCCCCGTGCAGGCTGCCAAACATTCAAAAATAGATCGAGGAGGGGACTTTTGAGCTCATGCAACCTCCATTCATTTTACCAAACACACCCTAAAATGCACCCTGTCTCAAAAAAAAAAAACATAGCTCCCATTGTGAAGTTCAGTCATATATATGGGCAACGTTTCTCGCGGCCCGCTGTGCGCGCTGCTTCTCGCCACTCTCAACGAGGGTGGAAAACGAGCGGTGCTCCGGCGGCCCCGCAACTGCAGCCTCTTCCTCCGCGCCTTCGTCCGTTAATCCCACTCTCCGACCAGGCAACCGCCACCGCCTCATGCCTTTAAAGCGAGCCAGAGGAGAGAGGGGCAGGAGCAACCCAATAAGCTAGCGGGACGCCGGAGAGAGGGGGTGGAAGCTGCCACGCGCGCTTCGCCCAAGCCCCCCTCCTCCTCGCCCTCCCCTCGCCGCTCACGCCGTTCATAGCGTAGTACGTAGCACTTACGCGCGCGCGCAGCGCGGGCGAGAGAGACAAAGCTCGTCGGCCGGCTGTCTCTCGCCTGCCATGGGAACGGAGGTGCTCCGCCCGCACGACTGCCTGACCCGCGTCCGCCACCACGCCCACGCCCACGCCCACGCCGGCTCCAGGCGGTCGCCGCGCCCGGCCGCGAGGAGGCGCCGCGGCACCGCTCGGCGCGCCCAGGCGGCGTCGCCCCTGCCGCAAGAGGTGCGGGTCAAGGTGTCGCCCGCCACCGCGGACGCCGCGTACGCCGGGCCAGCGTTCGGCGTCATGTCGCCGTCGCCGCGGGCGCTGCCGCTGCCGCGCTTCAGCAACACCAAGACGGCAGCCCCGGCCACCGTGGAGGACTCGGCCACGCGGGAGCTCCGGCGGCTGCTGGGCCTCGAGCGGCCGGCCAACTAACCGCGCGCGAGAAATCTGACGAGCAGGCCATGGACTGTAAGACAATAAATTTTGGGGAATCAGCACAACCCTCTAGGGGTGGCTTATCTCATTATATATAATGGTTGAGTTACAATACGTACATAAGTACAGAAGCTATACATAGTCTAACACCCTCCCTCAATCTTAGCCACTTTCTAAAGAACTGAGAAGGATAAGATTGCGCCTACAAGCCTCAAACTGTGGCAGCGGTAAAGGCTTAGTGAAGATGTCTGCAAGTTGATCCTTAGATGAGATAAACTTGATCTGGAGTTGCTTCTGCGATACACGTTCCCGTACAAAGTGATAGTCAACTTCAATGTGTTTCGTTCGGGCATGAAATACTGAATTTGCAGAAAGGTATGTAGCACCGATGTTATCACACCAAAGAATAGGAGGCTGTGGTTGAGACAAACCCAACTCCTGAAGCAAAGACTGCACCCAAATAATCTCTGCTGTAGCATTAGTCACAGCCTTGTACTCAGCTTCAGTACTGCTACGTGACACAGTAGCCTGTTTCCGAGCACTCCAGGCGATCAAATTAGAGACAAAAAATACTGCATAACCCCCCGTGGATCGCCTTTCATCTGGGCTACCAGCCCAATCTGCATCAGAGAAGGCCGAAAGGACCCGAGAGGAAGTCGGCCGAATATGCATTCCAAATGTCAGGGTGAACTGAACATAACGAAGAATGCGTTTAACAGCAGCCCAATGAGTATCTCTGGGAGCCTGAAGATACTGACAAACCCTGTTAACAGCATAAGAGATATCTGGTCTCGTGATCGTCAAGTACTGAAGTCCACCAATAATGCTCCTGTACTCTGTGGCATCTGCAGGAGACAAAAGCTCACCATCAACAGCTGTTATCTTGTCGGTAGACGTCATGGGTGTGGTGGTCGGTTTGCACTTCAGCATGCCAGCTCTTTGTAACAACTCCAAGGAGTACTTCTTCTGCGTAAGGACAAGACCAGTAGCACGAGAAGTGACCTCAACTCCAAGAAAGTAGTGAAGCTTCCCAAGATCTTTGACCGCAAAATCAGCACCAAGAGAGCAGACAAGAGCATTAGCAGCATACTGAGAAGAGCTGACAAGGATAATATCATCGACATATACCAAAAGGTACATAGTGACTTCTGGCTTCTGTAGAAGAAATAATGAAGTGTCAGCAGTGGACGGCACAAACCCATGAGCACGAAGGGCAGAGGCAAGGCGGGCATGCCAGGCACGAGGAGCTTGCTTCAAACCATATAGTGCTTTGGAAAGACGACAGATATAGTCAGGACGATCAGGATCAGAGAAACCAGGCGGCTGTTTCATATAAACCTCTTCCTCCAAAAATCCATGTAGAAAAGCATTCTGCACATCAAGTTGACGAAGTGACCAACCACGAGAAACAGCAATGGAGAGAAGAAGCCGAATAGTGGTAGTCTTGACGACAGGACTGAAGGTGTCCTCATAGTCAAGACCATGACGCTGCCGAAAACCGCGAGCAACAAGTCGCGCTTTGTAACGCTCAATAGATCCATCCGAATGCTTCTTCACTTTGAATACCCATTTTGAGTCAATAACATTTACCCGTGGTGGTGGAGAAACGAGAGTCCATGTCTTGTTACGAAGAAGATCATGAAACTCCTGCTCCATAGCCTCTCGCCAATGTGGAATGCGCAGGGCAGCCTGATATGAGCGAGGCTCAGAAGATGGATCCGCAATAGTAGCAGCCAAACAAGCAGCCAACCAAGCAACCGTACCATCCTTACGTTCCTTAGGTTTGAAAATGCCACTGCGACTGCGTGTATGTGGTCGGGACACAGGAACCACCGAGGTCGACGGAGCAGCCTGCAACGGGCTGGAGGACGGCGACGTTGACGAGTCAGCCGGTGACGAGGAGCCAGTCACGGTAGCCTCGGACTCGGTCGACGAAGAAGGCCGGCCCACCGGCGAAACCGGCAGAGCAGATGAAGCAGCTGGCGACTCCGGCATCACAGACCGGGCCGTTGGCGAGCTCGGCATAGTGGGCCGTGGCGCGGCCGGTGTCGCGGGCCGATCCGCGGATGAAGGCGACATGAGGACCCGAGCCGCGGGCGAAGACGGCGTGACGGGCCGAGCCGCAGGCGAAGACGGCGTGACGGGTCGAGCCGCGGGCGACTCGGCGGCCGCTGGCGAAAAAGGCCGAGCCGCTGGAAACTCGGCGATCGCTGGCGTAGCGGACCGAGCAGTGGAGATGCTCGGCGCGGCGGGCTCGTCAGGTGACCATGCATGAGCACGCGAATCGACACCATGCAACATAGGGCGATCGACGTGCCCACCAGAAGACGACGACGACGATGGTGAATCCTCCAACAGCTCCAAACGAGCTCCACGTCCGGTTCCTGCACCATGGTTAGGTAAGAGCAAAGGAGAGTATGCAACATCATCAAATTGGTCAGAAGCAACAGAGGATGAATGCAGGGATGGTGGTTCGACAGTAGACACAGGAAGGTTGGCAAAGGGAAAAACATGCTCATCAAACACGACGTCCCGAGATATATAGACACGATTAGTGGGAACATGAAGACATTTGTAACCTTTATGAAGAGAGCTATAGCCAAGAAAAACACACTTCTTAGAGCGAAACTCAAGCTTGCGCTTGTTATATGGACGAAGATGCGGCCAGCAAGCACACCCAAATACCTTGAGAAAGGTATAATCAGGTTGTTCATTAAGGAGAACCTCAATGGGAGTCTTCATGTTTAAAACACGAGTAGGAGTATGGTTGATGAGAAAGCATGCAGTGGTGAAAGCATCACTCCAAAACCGAAACGGAACAGATGCATGGGCCAAAAGAGTAAGACCAGCTTCAACAATATGACGATGCTTATGTTCGACTGAACCATTCTGTTGATGTGTATGTGGACATGCTAAACGATGAGCTATCCCAAGCGACTGAAAGAAAGAGTTGAGGTTGCGATACTCGCCCCCCCAATCCGACTGGACATGAACAATTTTGTGCTTGAGAAGACGTTCAACATGTTTTTGAAACTGAACAAAAATATCAAACACATCAGATTTGCGTTTAATAAGGTAAAGCCAGGTAAAGCGACTATAAGCATCAACGAAACTGATATAGTAATTATGACCACTGACAGAAGTCTGAGAAGGACCCCATACATCTGAAAACACAAGTTCTAAAGGATGTTTCACCTCACGACTGGACTCCGAAAAAGGAAGTTGATGACTCTTCCCCTGCTGACAAGCATCACACACTGCTACATCTTTATTACTAGACAAACTAGGAAGCTCATGACGACGCAAAATATGACGGACAATAGGTGTGGCCGGGTGACCAAGACGAGCATGCCACTGTGACGGAGAGACCCGAACTCCATTGAAAACGCGAGCGACGCCAGGATGCTCCAGACGGTAGAGGCCCTGGCACAACCGCCCACTAAGAAGAATGTCCCTCGTGCCCCGATCCTTAATAAAAAGATCAAATGGGTGAAATTCACAAAGCACATTATTATCACGTGTGAGTTTAGGAACTGAAAGAAGATTACGGGTCACAGATGGAACTCGAAGAACATTGCGAAGCTGAAGATTCCTATTGGCATGTCTAGTGAGAAGAGATGCTTGACCAATATGAGAGATGTGCATACCTGCTCCATTGGCGGTGTGGATCTTGTCGGAGCCATGATAGGGTTCACGAGTGTGAAGCTTCCCCATCTCGCTGGTCAGATGCTCTGTCGCCCCAGAGTCCATGTACCAGTGTGGATCGATGGAGTAGGACTGAGTGTGTCCCTGTTGCTTCTGCGGCACGGGACGATCAGCCATGGCGACCTGACGGGCATTGTTGCGTGTATCTTTGCCGTCATTGCCAAGACCAAGGAAGCTTCGCTGGAAGCGCTTATGACACTTGGAGGCCCAATGCCCATCGTGGCCACAAAGCTGACACACACGTGGACCGCCAGCCCCCGGTAAGGTCGCAGTAGGTGGGGGGCCGAGGCGGGCGACGGTGGCAGCCCCAAGGGAGACCGGGGTGATGAAGAAGAGCTGCCACCCTTGGTGGCGGCGTTGGCCGAGAGGGAGCCAGTGCCCCTGGTGCGGCGAGTCTCGACCCGTTGCTCAGTGAGAAGGAGCCGAGAGAAAACCTCGTGTGCCAGCATGGGCATCGAGTTGCCCCGCTCGTTGATGATCTCGACTAAGGCATCATACTCCTCATCAAGACCATTGACAATAAACGAGTTGAACTCGGAGTCGGTGAGGGGCTGTCCAATGGAGGCCAATGTGTCGGCGAGGCCCTTGACCTTGTTGTAGAACTCAGTGGCAGTGGAGTCAAGCTTCTGACACTCTCCAAGCTGACGACGGAGTGCAGAGACACGAGCCTGGGACTGCGCTGCAAAGGTGCGCTCAAGGATGGTCCAGGCCTCATGAGACGTCTTCGCGAAGACAACAAGGCCGGCAACTGCCGGCGAGAGCGACCCCTGGATGGAGGAGAGGTTCGCCTGGTCCTGCCCCGTCCAGACGCGATGGGCCGGATTGTAGACCGGACCGTGCACGCTGTCTACCAACGCGGGTGGGCAGGGAAGCGATCCGTCGACGTAGCCTAGCAGGTAGTGACTCCCCAAGAGCGGGAGAACCTGCGCACGCCAGAAGACGTAGTTGTCGGCGGAAAGCTTGATGGTGATGAGATGACCGAAGTGAAACGGCGGCGGCGAAGACGATCCCATCGAGGAGGCTTCCTGGGGTGCAAACACCATGGAGGTAGCCAGAGGCACCGAAGCCGATGCGGGAGGAGGCGGGACCGCAGCCAGGGCGGGCGCCGCAAAGCTCGCGGCCGGTTCGGACGCCGCAAGGCTGGCGGCCGGGGCGGACGCCGCCAACCCCGCCAGCGGGGCGGTGTGATCCGCTTGCGGCAAGAGCGGCGGGACGACGCCTGCGGAGTCCGCAGCGGACGGCGGCGCCGCGGTGTGGACTACGAGGTCACGCCCAAGCGAGGGCGCCGGCGGCGTGGAGAAGACGGAGCCGATGCTCCTTGTCCCGATCGGAGCCGGAACGGAGACGGCATCGAGCGGGAGGTTGAGCAGAGCCGCAAGAGAGGCCGGGAGGAAGCCCGCAGCAGTGGAACCGGTGGTGGCGGCGCTCGACATGGCGGCGGCGCGATCGGTGGCGCGGCGGCTGCGGTGAAGGCGGCGGCGGCTGCGGCGGCGGTGCGGGTATTAGGGTTTAGAAGCGGAAGCGATCGTAACCTAGCATGATACCATGTAAGACAATAAATTTTGGGGAATCAGCACAACCCTCTAGGGGTGGCTTATCTCATTATATATAATGGTTGTGTTACAATACGTATATAAGTACAGAAGCTATACATAGTCTAACATGGACTCAGCGAACCAAGAAAAGGGTGTGTCAAGATGTACGTGTGGGTCTCTTCCATTGATTCTTTCCGGTCAATCTCCGCCCCTGCCTCTCCGACGGCGCGCGTTCCCGGGGCCTCCCCCGTCCGGTGTTTTTGTCAAGGACCGAGGGTTTGTGCGGGACCCGTCGTAGGAGAGGGGGCTAAACTAGAGGAAGAAGAAATGATGAAATGGCGGGAAGATTTGATGTGGTTGAGATGTGGCTAACTGAATCTGATCATCTTCAGATTTGCTCTTGTGATGCTCAAAAATTGGGATAGCTCAAACTTCTTGTCGACAACTGGACCAGTTGATTAGGTGTAACAACTTGTACATAAACTTTCAATCGGAGAACAACACGAACTTATTTCGGTGGGTAATTACATGATACAACAATGCAGAGGAATATGAAACACACGCTTTCAAGGCGAAATTCAGACAAGTTAAGCGCCCCCCTCTTCCAAGTTGCTCGCAATCCACACGAATACAGGAGATACAGGATAGAACATATATATACTTAGCATGTTGTCCATATACAGAGCCATGGAAGGCTCAGATCTTGCGGACAAGAACTTGAGCACCGTACTGGGGTTGGAGGGTCATCACCATCATCGGCGCATGAACATAGGATGGCGAGACATCAATCACAAACCGCTGGAGGACCATTGCAATCACCAGCTTTGCCTCAACCATCGCAATATTCTGGCCAACACAGATGGCAGGGCCAATCCCAAAGGGGAAGTACGCGCCGAGGTGATAGCTCTTGTCATCTGCAAACCTCGACGGATCGAATTCCTCCGCATCAGCACCCCATATGTCGACATCATGGTGAATGTCAACAAGGGGCAGGTTGAGCTGCATGCCCGCAGGGATGTCAGGTTTGCCCAGCTTGACATCCTTAGTGGCTGTCCTGCTGAGAGACAAAGCTGGAGGGTAGAGCCTGAGGGTCTCCTTCAGCACCATATTTACCTGATATCATGTCAGCATTGCTAGTGTTATTCACAATGTTCCAATGAGATATCATTCAGAATTAAAAAAAGGCTGTAGCATTCAGGTTTTCCGCGTTTGGGTGCTTGTTCTTGCCACATACTTGATGGACTTCATCGCGTGCTTTATCTTGCCACTCTTTATGCAATGCCGATAGAAGTGTTGCCCATGTTAACAAATTTGCAGTTGTTTCTTTACCGGCAAAGTAAAATGTCTTGCACTCATCAATGATCTCTTCAATTCCCATTTTAAACCCATTGTCTGTTTTGCTGGCTGATAGCATCAATCCAAGCAAATTTTTGGAGTCCTCACACTTCCTTCCATTGGTCTCAATCAATTTGCGCAGAGAACTTCGGATTTCCTGGTTTAGGCTATGCCTTCTTCGGTTCTTCTTTGTCGGTACGAACCTAAGAAATAAATAGGTCATATTATTTTTCCCTCAACTGTAAAGTTTGATTGAATAGCATGAATGGCTGAAGCAAACTTTTTTTATAATTGTAAAGTGAATGAACAAGTAGGGGAAACTAATTGTTTATTGATAGAGAAAATCGTGACCCAACTCGAGTCCATGAGTTAATCACACCTGAAGCCAGGAAAGTAGAAGGTTCTCATTGCAAGGAGGGCAAGTTTTATCTGTTCTTCTTGCAATTGAAAAACTCGCTTTCCTTCCTCATAGCTACTTCCAAATGCCACACAGGAAATGACATCAGAACTCAAAGTTTGGAATTTTTTACTTGCATCAATCTCAAACTCAGTGTGGGTTCCTCCTTGGACTGCCCATTTGTCCAGCATGGATGAGGCGATTGCTGACATTTCTGGTATCCAGACCTACAAAGAATCCAAAATGAGTTTGGTGGTAAACAATATTTTACTAACGATGTTACTTAGAACACAACTGTTGATCACATCAACAACATGTCATTAGAAACAACAAACATAGATTATCTAGAAATGAATAAAGGACCACAGACACCATAGACCATGAACTACTCCAGTAGCTTCTGCCAGCAACAATTTGTGCATGAAATAACTACTAATGCAAATGGTTTCATTTAAGTTACAAATGTTATCAATCAATATACAACGGTTGCGTATATGTTAAGCAATTCAGATAAATACCATTCCAAATATTAATTGACACATTGATGGAATTCAAATCAAAGTTAGCTGAAATGATGTCACTTTCAGGAAAGAATTGCTTGAAATAAGTGTGCATGCGGCCTCTTCACTAATAACATCAAATTCAAACCAGTGAAAAGAGCAATAGTTCTATAAAGGGTTTAATGATACCCTGATTTCACTGAAAATGGATTTGGAAAATAATTGCAGAATGCTAAAGGGCTCTGGGCAAAGATTTGGATATTTTCATTGGCCCTATGAGAAGAGTTCCCAATTATAGGATAGCATTCAGTATAATAGTCCACAGCAACCAAGATTTTAGCAAGACCCCCGATATTTGGGCCGAACACCAGCGCGTCATGGTGGCCGAGAACGCGGCCCTCACGGCCTTGTTCTCGGAAGAGGAAGTCTGGATGGCCATCAAGGGCATGAATCCGACTTCCGCCCCAGGCCCGGACAGCCTCCCGGTGAAGTTCTTCCAGACGTTCTGGAGTGTCATCAAACCTGAAGTGATGGCTCTCTTCGACGAGTTCTACGTAGGCTCCATTGACTTGACCCGGCTTAACTACGGGATCATCACCCTCAACCCCAAGGTTCCTGGGGCCTCGGACATCCGCCAGTTTCGCCCGATCACCGTGATCAATGTGATCTTCCGCATCCTGGCAAAGGGGTACGCCAATAGGGTGACCTCGCTTGCCGATCGGGTCACCCATCCCAATTAGTCGGCCTTCATCCAAGGCTGGTATATTCTTGATGGGGTTTTGGTTTTCCATGAAGTCCTTCACGAGGTCCGCGCCAAAAATCAGAAGGCGGTCTTCCTGAAAATTGACTTTCATAAAGCCTACGACACGGTTCACTGGCCCTTCCTCCGGGAGGTTCTGCTTCGCAAGGGTTTGATGACCAGTGGGTCACGCGGGTCATGTAGATGGTTTCATCCGGCCATACTGCAGTAAACATCAATGGGGAGATTGGCCCCTTCTTCCCCACCCAATGTGGGGTTAGGCAAAGGCGATCCTTTCTCCCCCTTTCTATTTAATATGGTGGTCAACGCTCTCGCCACCATCCTTGACAAGGCCAAGGCCGCGGGACATATCCACGGCATCGTCCCTCACCTTGTAGGAGGTGGTGGGGTCTCCCTCGTACAATATGTCGATGACACCATTCTCATGGTGGAAGGTTCCGCGACCGACATTGCAAATCTGAAATTTCTCCTCCTCTGCTTCCAACAAATGTCAGGTCTCAAGATCAACTTCGACAAGAGCGCGGCCATGGTCCTCGGCTACGGCCCGGACGAGTGCCAGAGTATTGTGGATCGCCTCAATTGCCCGCTGGGTTCCTTCTCCACATCCTACCTGGGGATACCACTCGGTTGACTTTGGCGGAGCTGTGCCCGACGATGACTAAGCTCCAACACCGAGTAGAACCCTGGCGGGGTAGATGGTTGTCCAAGGCGGCACGGACAATGCTCATTAACTCCTGTCTATCTAGCATGTTGTTGTTCATCATGAGCTTCTACAGCCTTCCTGAGATCCTTCACCATGAGATAGCCACACTCCAGGCACGTTTCTTCTGGGCGGGTGAGGGCGATAAACAGAAATACCACATGGTCCGATGGGCCGAGATCTGTAAGCCACACGACCAGGGTGGGCTTGGGATCATGTCCTCTGAACATATGAACATTGCCCTGCTCACATGTTGGTTGTGGCGCATAGCGAACGGGGATGGAGGCCTATGGCTCGACATTGTTCAGAACAAATATCTCCGTGGACAGCCCGTCGCCTTCTGCCAGCGTTCTGGAGGCTCCCAGTTCTGGCAATCCATCATCCAGCTGCTCCCATTCCTTCGGATCGGGTCCTCCATTTCGGTGGGATCCGGCGCGTCGACCCTATTCTGGTTTGACAGATGGGCTGGTGATCTCGCCTTCGCGGCCTGCTTTCCGGTCTTGTTCTCCATCGCGGTGGAGCCTAGGATATCCATCGAGAGGGCCCTTATTGACTTAGGGCACCTTGCTTTCTGTCGGCCGTTTGGTCCTCTCGAGCTTGTTGCCTGGAACGAGCTTCTTGACTGTATTGTGCTACAGCAGCCGAATGACCGCATTTCCTAGCGCCTGGAGCCTTCGGGTCGCTTCTCCACAAAATCGCTCTACCAGGCCATCGCGGCGGTCCCATGCCCTGAACCCCTTGCGGCAATCTGGACGATACAACTGCTGCTGAAGATCAGGATCTTCCTTTGGTAGTGGATCCGCGGCCGGGTACCTTCAAGGGTGGAGGTACTTAAGAGGAATGGCCCGAGCGATGGGATGTGCCCATTGTGTGCGACGGCCGAGGACTCCAATCACATATTGTTCAACTGCATCTCCGCGCGTTTCCTTTGGAGCTGCTTCCGTGAGGCGGCCGGTGGGAGGTGGTGCAACACTAATTTCCCCGACCTATTCGCGGAGCTCTCCGCCTCCCCGTTGCGGATGCGCCACATTAGGTGGCTGGCCATTGGCGTGCTGGTCTGGATGCTTTGGATGATTCGTAATAAGCTTGTGATTCAGCGTGTGCCTCTCCGACGTGCTACTGACGCGATCTTCAATTTGTGTGGCTATATGCAGCTTTGGCGGCCGATTAGCCATCCACAGGACCGAGATGCCATCGACACCTTCATCCCGGCCTTCGTGCCATGGCTCTCTGCTTGGCCCCGCCGCTCCCTCCACCACCTCCAAAGCCGGATTAGCCACTTCGTGGCTGTTGGTCTCCTTTTATTTTATTTAGGGCTTGTTGAGCTGCACTCTCAACAGAACCCCCTCATTTTGAACCCGTGTGTTTGTGCTACTTTGTGTGTGTCTGTGGTGTGAACTCTTGATGTTGTGGCTCGATGGTTTGCCTTATATATAAAGCGAGGCGAAAACCTTTTTTTGTAAGATTTTAGCAAGACATAGGAGTACATCTGAGTATCTTGTTTCTAGTTTACTCTTTACAGTTCTCTGTTAGGTAGGTCGCTAGTACCATTTAGTGTGATTTACAAGCAAAACCGCCAATTTAATGTTTCAATTCGAATTCAGAAACACCTCTCACCTTGACCCTTTCCATGTTGAAGGCGGGCGAGATCACGCGGCGGTGGTGCGCCCACTTCTCCCCGGTGAGCCCCACCAGGCCCTCGCCGAACGCCGATGAGCTGCCGAGCGAGCGGGTTGCTTCTGCCGCCATTACCGGCCTTATCGAAGGTCCCCGTGGAGTCGTTCAGCGCGCCCTTGGCGACTTCCGGGCTGGAGAACACCAGCCGCGGCCGGGGCTCTGACCAGAACACGAACGGCCGGCCGTACCGCGTCGCCCACTCGCGGTAGTGCAGCGTGGCGCGGCCGACGATGGCGTGGTGGAAGGAGGCGAGCGGCGAGGAGGGCGCCGTAGTCGGCCCCGTTTCCGGTGATGAGGCTGCGCGGAGGCCCCCGGATGCCCTGCCGGCGCAGGCGGCGCTCCAGGCGGCGCGGGACCCACACGAGGGCGCGGAGCACGCCGAGCACGTAGGCGAGCGCGGCGTGTAGCACGGCTAGGAGGAGGGCTGCTTCGGCGCCCATTGTTTACTTCTTGGCGATTCCTGGAAATTTGGAATGGGTAGAAAGGGGTTTGGCTCCGAGCCCCTGATGGAGAAGTAGAACCAATGTTTTTTTTTAGCTGGAAGTAAACCAATGTTGACTCCGTCGGAGCCATCGCCGGCCATTGTTCCGGCTCGTTTTATTCGCGGAGCTCTCTTCAGAATATTTCTTTAGGAGGTAATATAACCTGAAGTCGTAGAACTTGCACTTGATGTTCAGTTTGGTGTTAGAACTTTAAAAAATACGAATTTTTTGTCACCTAACTTGACAACGTGTGCAAATATGGTCATAAAATACGCATGCAGACGTATCAGGGTGTATGACCCCACCTGTCAATGAGTGAAGTTGCTCGGCTGACTAACTTTTGCACAAAACACCCTCACATTTTTTATTGTGCTGCATATAGGTATAAAAATTAACACAAAAAATGGGTGAGCAGAGACTTAACCCATTGCCAATGTTTACGACACAAGCCACTCCAGCCAACTCACCCTTCCCGTTCGTATCTCATGTATGGATAGCAAACTTAGATTTATTGAACGTGGAACTCAAATGCCATTTTTTTCTGCATCTATGAGGAATTAGTGTACATCTGCAACCTATTTAAGCTATTTACCGGTCTTTTTTTACCTGAAATATGTAGAGGCATGTACTGCTACAGTTGATTCCGTTAAGCAGGACCAGAAGTCATATTAGGTAGGTTGACACATTAAGATAAAATATAATGCCATCAACATAGTACTTACAAGTGGAGCAGTAAAACAATGGGAGTGATATTAATTGGCTAATTGCACATCAAGACGGTTTGACTGAGCTGTAAAACAGAGTGACATTTCAAAAATCAAGCTGTGTTTTTGCTCCCTCTGTCACTCTGGCTTGCTGTCTGACAGTACATGCGTGTCTTTCAGAAGGGGATTGCCATTGCCGGCTTATTTTTGCGGATACTGCGGCCCATTTTGCACTTGCTATTTTTTAAAGCTATTTGTAAATGCCATTAACACATTTATGTTCCAAGAATATTAGACATACAAGTGATCATTATTAGTAAATAAAAACATTTAAATATACACATGCGTATTTATATAAAAAAATATTTAGTTAAACCGACATTGAAAATGTTTATTAAATAAATATGTTTAATGAATCCAAGAAAAATAACACACTCGAGGCTTATATTTAAATTATGCAAAAAAATGGGTTCAAACATTTACTAAATATTCAAAATTATTCACTTGTGTATAATTTTTACTCATGATTTATATTCGAAAAATTATATAATTCAAATATTAGACACGATTGAATATTCATATCAATGTTTACATTTTGAATTATACAAAAATTGAACTCTATAAATGCGAGAACAGTTATTGAAATGTTTGTAAAGTTAAATAATATTTGTAATTTTATTTTTGAAATATTTATTTTAAATGATGCAAAAAATTATAATTCATAAATTTTATTTAAATATATGAATATTTTTAAAATAATACATGAAAAAAAATTAAAAATAGGTTATATCATTTGTATGTACAATATTTATAAGTAGTTTACGTAATATTTACATATTTCCAGTACATTAAGATTAGTTATTCACCGTAGATGTGTATACGTGTAGGTTGTAGCGGCTAGAACGTCCTGTGTGCTACCCTTTGGTTGTTTGTTCAAGAGCTGGCGGTCACACTTTTTCCTGTTAATTTTCAATGTGTAATGACAGGCATAACCCACTGCTCACAGGTACGAAAATAAATGCCATTTAAGCTCCACGTTCAATATATCTCAGTTTGTTATCCACACTTGAAATATGAATGTGAAGGGTTCGTTGGTTGGCTAGAGTGGCTTGTGTCCTTAATTTGGGTCGTGCGTTCGAGTCCCGCCTTGTTGATATTTTAGTTAATTATCGTACATGTACAGCAGTCGGCCTTTTTTGTTAATTTTCGTACCAATATGCTGCTGCACAGTGGTTGCCCATGCACCCTGATATGTCCGTATGCGTATTTTGTGACCGTATTTGCACGTGATGTCAAGTTAGATGACCACAGATCTGTATTTTTAAAGTTTTAGCATCAAACTGAATATCAAGTGCAAGTTCTATGACTTTCGATGATATTATCTCTTTCTTTAGTGCAGATGGCTGACGGCCGAAGCAAACTTCCAGTGCCCAGCCCACTCCCCGCTGTGGCTGTATGTCTTCTGAACTGCTCCTGCTCCTTCAGAACTGACGGAGAAGAAGTATATGGAGTTGTATTACTAAACTGATCATCTTCAGAACTGGGAGTGCTCATACTTCTTTTCACAACTGGACGGACGATTAGGTGTCACAACTTCACCATAGTTTTTGAATTGACAAACAACTTGAACTGATTTAGGTAGGAGTACAAAACTAGGTGATACAAAAGATGCAGAGGAATATGACTGATTTACTGTCGCGAAGCATATACTACTTTCTGTACACATTTTCAGGACAAACTTCGGACAAGTTGTCAACAGAGATACAGGAGACGCGGGGACATCACATTCACATATACCTTGCTGCCAAACCTCCCAACTCCATAGACAGCACCACACAAGGTTCAGATCTTGTGGACAAGAAGTTGAGCACCGTACTGGGGTTGGAGGGTCATCACCTTCATCGGCGCATGAACATAGGACGTCGAGACATCAAGCGCAAACCGTTGGAGGACCATTGCAAGCGCCAGCTTTGCCTCAACCATCGCGAGATTCTGCCCAACACAGATGGCAGGGCCAATCCCAAAGGGGAAGTACGCGCCAAGGTGGTAGCTCTTGCCATCTGCAAACCTCGATGGATCGAACTCCTCCGCATTAGCTCCCCATATGTCGACATCATGGTGAATGTCAATAATAGGCAGATTGAGCTGCGTGCCTGCAGGGATGTCGAGTTTGCCCAGCTTCACATCCCTAGTGACTGTCCTGTTAACGAACAGAGCTGGAGGATACAGCCTGAGGGTCTCCTTCAACACCATATTTACCTGATATCATGCCAACATCACCAGAGTGTTACTCGCTATGTCCCGATAAGGAGATATCATCAAGAATATAAAAAGCTGTAGTATTTATCCAAATAAATAAGGCTCACAATTTTGAGACTGCTCAGATTTTCCGCGTTTGGGTGCTTGTGCTTGCCACACACTTGATAGACTTCGTCGCGGGCTTTGTCTTGCCATTCTTTATGCAATGCCAGCAGAAGTGTTGCCCATGTCAACAAATTTGCGGTTGTTTCCTTACCAGCAAAGTAAAATGTCTTGCACTCATCAATGATCTCTTCGATTCCCATTTTGAACTCGTTGTCAGTTTTGCTGGCTGATAGCATCAAGCCAAGCAAATTTTTGGAGTCCTCACACTTCCTTCCATTGGTCTCAATCAATTTCCGCAGAGAACTTCGGATTTCCTGGTTTAGGCTATGCCTTCTTCGGTTCTTCTTTGTCGGTACAAACCTAAGAAATAAAGAGGTCATATTCTTTTTCCCTCAACTGCAATGTTTGATTGAAGAGCATGAATGGCTACAGAGAGAAGCAAACTTTTTTATAATTTAAAAGTAAAGGAATAACTTGGAGAAACTAATTGTGATAGAGGAAATAGTGACCCATATTGAGTCTAGGAGTTGATCTCACCTGAATCCAGGAAAGTAGAAGGTTCTCATTGCAATGAGGGCTAGTTTTATCTGTTCTTCTTGCAATTGAAAAATCCGCTTTCCTTCCTCGTAGCTACTTCCAAATGCCACACAGGAAATGACATCAGAACTCAAAGTTTGGAATTCTTTACTTGCATCAATCTCAAACTCAGTGTGGGTTCCTCCTTGGACTTCCCATTTATCCAGCATGGATGAGGCAATTGCTGACATTTCTGGTATCCAGCCCTACAAAGAATCCAGAATGAGTTTATTTTGCTAACGATGTTATCTAGAACACACCTGTTGATCACATCAATAACATGTACTAGAAACAAGAAACATAGATTATCCAAAAATAAATAAAGGACCAAAGACATCATAGATGATGAACTACTCCAATAGCTTCTGCCAGCGACAATTTGTGCATGAAATAACTGCTAGTGCCAATGGTTTAATTTCAGTTACAAAGTTAACAATCAATATACAACCATTTGCATATATGTTAACCCATTCAGATAAACTCCATTCCAAATATTAGACACGTTGATTGAAGTCAAATCAATGTTAGCAGAAAGAATGTCAATTTTCAGAAAGGAATTGCGGCTTCTTCACTGATAACACCAAACTCATACCAGTGAAAAGATAAATACTGTAGTTCTGTAAAGGGTTAAATGATACCCTGATTTCACTGAAAATGAATTTGGAAAATTATCGCAGAATGGTAAAGGGCTCTGGGCAAAGATTTGGATCTTTTCATTGGCCCTATGAGAAGAGTTCCCAATTGTTGAATAGCATTCAGAAGATCAAGCTTGTCTTGCTGAACGTCAGCGTTCAACATATATTTCAGCTTAGCGTGCATGTTGCTTTGCGAGGATCTGCTGTTTATCTATTGTTCTGTGGTCTATGGACTTGTATTGCTAAAACTGATGTAGTTTATCTTTTTTTTCCTATTCGTTTTAGTTGTCTTGTAAACTTTGCTACCTTGGCCGTTTGGGGCTTTATAAAGAGGACACAGCCTGCCTTCCGTCTAATAAAGATTTCACTGAAAAAGTGATGGCACAACAACGATTATCAGAGCAACCAAGATTATGTGCTGAAATCGCTAGTCAGGTTGCTAGTACCATTTAGTATGATTTACAAGTTACTCGAAAAAAAAAGTATGATTTACAAGCGAAATCACCAATTTTTAATTTTTTATGCTTCAATTTGAATTCAGAAAACGCCTCCTCACCTTGACCCTCTCCATGTTGAAGGCGGGCGAGATCACGCGGCGGTGGTGCGCCCACTTCTCCCCGGTGAGCCCCACCAGCCCCTCGCCGATGAGCTGCCGAGCGAGCGGGTTGCCGCCGCCGCCGTTGCCAGCCTTATCGAAGGTCCCCGTGGAGTCGTTCAGCGCGGCCTTGGCGACTTCCGGGCTGGAGAACACCAGCCACGACCGGGGCCCGAACCAGAACACAAACGGCCGGCCGTACCGCGCCGCCCACTCGCGGTAGTGCGGCGCGACGCGGCCGACGATGGCGTGGTGGAAGGAGGCGAGCGGCTTGGACTGGGCGGCGGCGAGAAGGGCGCCGTAGTCGGCCCCGTTTCCGGAGATGAGCCTGCGCGGAGGCCCCCGGATGCCCTGCCGCCGCAGGCGGCGCTCCAGTCGGTGCGGGACCCACACGAGGCTGCGGAGCACGCGAAGCACGTATGCGAGCACGGCGAGTAGCACGGCGAGGAGGATGGCGGCAGGGCTGCCCATTGTTTGCTGCTTGGCGATTCCTGCAATGGGGTTTGGCTCCGAGCCCCTGACAGAGAAGAAGGTTGACTCCGAGTCTCCGACGAAGCCAGCCACTCTTTCTGCTCGTTTCATTTATGGGAATGGCTGGAAATCAGTCAGCTGACTTTTTCATTTATGGTCAGTCAGCCATTGGATGTTAAACCAAAGGCCCACAATCCTTCTTCAGGCCTCATTCGATTTGAAGGATTTTTATAAGAAAAACATGAAAACAAGGATTCCAGAGAAATTTTTTCTATATATGCATTCGGTTTTGTAGAAAATGCGTAAAGGAATTTCGTAGGAATACTACTCATTTTCTATACTTTTAGAGAAAACTACGCATCCACTCAAAACTCATTTTGCGTGTAGGAACGAGACAAGTCAATTCCTTAGGGTGGCAAGTGTCATCCTATCAAATTCTTATACTACTCTAAATTCCTACGTTTAGATTTCCTCCAAACCAAATGAGCCCTCAATCTCCACCCCCTTGAGCCGCCAGCCACCACCGCTCGCGGCCGGCGGCCCTCCCGCGCCGCCCCGCCCTTCCCGAAACCACTCTTCACCGTCCCGACCATCCC